CCTCCAGTGATGACACCAGGGCATGTCAGCACCACCTTGAGAACTGCATGCGGGTTTCAGGTTCCCAACTGTCTGCATCTCACACAGTGGGACGGCTCTGATAGCCATGCCTGCCAAAGGCCATACAATCCTTCAACACGTACCTATTGTGTCCATCACATGGAAACGTGTGGTGGCCACGAGAGAGCCAACAACAGAAACAAAACATGGTCCTCACCTTAAAAACATTTTGGCCCAGAAAAGAGGATAAATTTAATTATATAAAATAAACGCTGTGTGAGACATCATGAGACCAGGGCCACAAAGTTACACAGATATACCAAGAGCAAAATCAATCACCTGAGAGGTGAAGGCTTCACTGAGGAGGTTTTCTATTTGGACTATGTTAGTGAATGAAGAGGATTCTGATAATCAGCAATCACAGAGGAGGGACAAGGGCTTTGCAGCTGCAGCGCCCAGCAGCAGAAGCCACAGGATCTCGGAAACACGCAGCACATCTGACAAGAGTGCTCGCCAGCAAATTTAGGGTGAGGTTGTCTAGCAGAGACTGAAATCCCAGGATAAGGCAAACAGATACTCTTCAAGGGGTGGAGGTTTAGAAATATAGGTCTGACATACAAGAATGGCACTTAAAAAAAATGTACGGTTTGGAATGACACACATCTAAACCACTAGGAAGGGATGGGACTGGCTGGGGTTACCACAGTAAGGACAAAAAGGAAAATCACAACAGGCCAAGGTAGGGGTCTTGGAATCACCCAAAGAAATACACTCAAGTAGGGGATTTTTACCATGAAATACGTCAGAGCAGACTGGCTGTCATACCACCTGACAGCTCCCTGTAGCCCCCACCCACCCTCCTGTCCACTGTCCATAACTCCCGATGCCCCTTTCCCTCTGAGCAGCAGCTCTTGCTGTTTGAAGCCCACTCTGTTCCTGCTTGGTCAGTGAGACTGTAGGGGCCTCACAGAAGTCATTGCCCCGCTCACCCTGGTTTGTTTTGAGTGCCCTGCAGGGAGCATGCAGGGTGTAACTAACCAAACGATGGCCAAAAAAAGCCAGGTGCCTTTTGCATTCCCGTATCAATACAGAGCTGCTCACGGAGCCGAGAGGCGCACCCACCCCGAGCAGGCGCACAGCCAGAGCTGGCGGACAGGACGCCAAAGCAGACGCCACCCAGACACGCTGTGTTTCACGGCAGGACACCTTCATCTCTCACTGCTTCACGCTTCTCCTCTGACCCTCGTTCACGGCAGTTTAAGCCCTTTACAATTTTAAACAGAATCTCTAATTTTCACATGCCACAATCCTCTCCTAAAAAAAAAAAATGTGGACAAAACAATTTCTGGAGTGAAAAGCCTTTGATTCACAATGAAATGTCGGTGAGGATTGTTAGGTTTCGGACAAAGGACTGCCACGAACTGTACAACCATCATTATTCAGAAGAACGACTGCAAATAAGAAATCCCAAAAGTGATGAACACTCATCTTATATACTCCATTCTTATTCTGAGGTGAATACTAATGTACCTTAATTTTTTAACCTTTTCTACAGGGAATAGGGCAACAAAAAGTTTCTATATTTGATGAATCCTAAGTTTGTTAAACTCTAAATTCTGAACCTTAAGTAAGTCAGAAAACTTAATAAACAAAAAACAGTAGTCACTTCCTCCCAAAGATACACAGCAAATCTGGCCATTCATGGATAAAAATTAAGAATTTGTTTACAAATATTTTTCAGAATAAAAATATGTTAATCAATATCCATTTCCAGCCTGTTGGTAAACTAAATCAACACTAAAGCTCTTCTAGTATAAAATACCTAAAATTGCTCAACAAAGCACAAAAGTATCTTTTAGAAACCATGGCTTATTTGCCAGGAAGTCAGAGGAACAAATGCAGACAAAAAATGATTGCAACAAGAAAGAGCCAATCCTCTGGGCAGTGGCCGCCGGCCCGGGACAGCCTCACAGATGGCACCAGTCCCCGGAGGTGTGAGGCCTGCATCAGAACCATCACCTGACATCTAGGGATAGAAGATCAATCCTAGGGCCGTGAGCAAGAGAGGGTACAGGTGGGGACAGCACTCAGAACAAAACGAGGACAGTCCAAACACAGCGCACTCAACTGGCCAATTAAAAAATATCCTCTGACAAAAGGCAGTGAGAACACGAGCCATTCTCAGACTTGCCAAACACCAAAAGAAAAGAAAAGAAATGTGTCTCCACAGATACCCCTAACCACAAACTCACAACTGAGGGGAAGGCTGGAATCCACATCGTCTCTGAGGCCTGGAGAACCCTAAGCCACAAGTGCAGGGTCAAGTAGCCCTGGCCTTTCATGGACTTGTCTTGGCCTCCCTCCTCTGCAAATGCCACACATCTGCAGAGAGATGGACAGAGGACAGGGAGGGGGACACACAGTGTCAAGCCTGCGTCACCAGCTTCCAGAGCCAATGGCCAATTTAGAGGCAACAGAGAGGACCAACGAACACACTCAACGGCGCACAGGGAGCCATCACCAAGGTCCAGACCAGGGCAAATTTGTTAGTACAAATACGGCAGATTTTATTTCCCAGTGATAGCTGGAATAATACCTCCCATCTCGTAGAGTTTTCTCCAATGTTACTTGCCCTTCCACCGTCAAAGGGTGGATTCCTTCCCGTCCCTCAGAATGGAGGCTGTCCCAGCGACCACTCTGACCAACCAACTGCGGCAAAAAACCAAGTGAGGCTGTGCTACTTGCAGGTGTAACCATTAAGAGGCCTGGCATCTGCTTCATAATTCCTGGAAGTCAGGTGCCATGTAACAAACAAACAACCCAAGTAACGGTGCTGTGAGAAGCTCAACAACTGAGGATTAACACAGTGTCTCAGAGCAGCACAGGAGCTACTCTCTGCTGGTGGTGCAGGGAGAGGCATTTTTCATATAAAGTTTCCCACTGAATTCCCAACCTTTTCTTTAAGCATAACTGAAAACAAGTGTTTCCCTGTTTAGTGTCAGAGGTTCCCTGGACAGGTTTGTTCTTGTGAAAGTCTATTTCTCTACTCCCCACTTATTCTCATGTTTCCATGAAATGTCTTCTGCTGAAGTCTAGTGATGCTTCACTGGGCCCTTCCGCATATAAACACACTGACTGACAATAGCTACCTACACACCTTCCTTTGTGATTTTAGCAACCATTCCATGACCTTCCTCTCTGCCACACTCTGAGCCACAGCTTGCTTTTATTTATTTTTGTCTCGTGGTCTTATTATTACGGGGTTCACTCTCTTCTCATCAGGATCTGTGGTCAGTTCTTCACATTCTCTCTTTCTGGAAAGTGTATCAGAATCTTCCTCATCTCTCTTGCCCAGTGGCTGTCTATAGACAACTGATTTCTGTATTTCTTGGGTTTTTCTTCCTGCTACACTCTATTCTCAGTAATCTTTTCCTGCTTCTAGGTGACTGACTGTAATGCATTGTCATACTCCCTTTGTATGGTGGTGGTTTTAAAAGGTTAATGAGTTAATACATAACATAGAGGCCTCAGGACCTGGCCTGATTCACAGTGGTCACCCGCTGAGCTACAGCTCTCATTACTGCTATGATTCATCCCTCACATCCCCAAACAGTGTTTAGAAAAAACTTTGTGACCCCTCCCCTAAAAAATAACCAGAGCTGAAGACACATTACATAAAGAAAGAATATTTTAGGCAGCTTTCTGGAAAGATATCCCACATTACTAATGCATTTCCTTTAGGCTCATGACAAACTTAAATACATTTTAAAAAAACCTAAAGTACACAAAATAAAGCATTTTTTTCCCTCATATGTCATAGTCAATAACATTCTTTTTTTTTGCAGCTTTTGGCTAGGACGGGTTTGAACCCGCCACCTCTGGTATATGGGGCCAGTGCCCTACTCCTTTGAGCCGCAGGTACTGCCAATCAATAACATTCTGATACAACTACAGAGAACTACAAGATGAAAAATATAAATTCTTACCACTAGTTTAAAGCATGATCTGAATCGTATTTGACAGTAAATCTTAGTTGGTTTAACAGAGAACGGGTGCTCAGTGTACAATACTTAATGTTTCAATCATCTCTGTCTTCATTAAGGACAGTTACCACACTAAAATCAGAAGTAGGGTGACTGTGGCTAAGTAGTAAACTGTGTTTGTATTTTTTCTTTGGTGGTGAAAAGAAATGTGACTTAAAATAAATATCTTCAGATTTAAATGAGCTTCCTTTAAAGTAATACATTGAGGAAAGTGTCAACACCAGGTGACCTGTGATTCTGCCGGGTCTTAGAGAACATGAGCTACGGTGTAACTTCTAATAATGCTCTGTTGGTTTTGAAGAGATTAGTATTTTCAAGTGCTAAAAAGAAACTAAAAGGCAATGATAATCACTATTGTGAATATTTACCTTGAGTTTGTGTTCTTTCCTGTTGACAATCACAGCTGTGATCTGCTGGTCCATGAAAATCAGAATGGTGACCAGTAAGGCTGGGATGGCGGCAGCCAGGTACACCCACCAGGGGTTGCCCCCAAACGGCGGCACGAACCAACCTCGGTTTGGACTTGTTGGCTTACAAAAGAGAGAGAATGTGTTTCAGGAAATTATCAAGTTAATATCTGCTACTTGGTGAAGATATTCTCATTTCTGGAGAGCCAACATATTGAAAAACCCACGGTAGAAATAGTTACAGGCTAGACAATGGGGATTATTCACCAAAGCCTTCCTAAATTACATTGTTTCTGAGGCAAAACTTTAAAGAATGGAGAGAAGGAAGATGAGCTGTTGGAAAACAAGGCGATGCCATTCTGTGAATTTGGGATGATTTATGATGGAAGAAAATGACTGAAGTTTAAGAGCAGCCAGAAGAAAATCCCAAATGTAATCGTGTTTAATAAAGAGGTTCGTGGTAGTAAGAAATTTAAAGACCACCACAAACTTTGTTCATGCTTTCTAGCAATTATATGGAAGTTCTCCTACTATTGGTAGATTACAATAGCTTCATAATATGACAGTAAAAAGCTACACCTTTTTTTATGTTACTGTCAAACTAAACATTCTGGTCCTTTATTTTACATATGAGCAATGATCCACAATTATCGATTGCATACTTAGAAATGTCCTTGAAATGGGGAATATGATCATTTTTGTAGTTATCAATCTCTTTTCTATCAACAAATCACCTATGTCTACTACAGAAAAGAAAATTTCCTATGCTTTTCCTTACTTTAAATAAAGCAAAAAAGCTAAAATAGAATACTGTCTATCAATTATTTTCTCCAGATTTGCTATCAAGAAAATCTTGTTTCTTTTGAGGCCATTTGTCTCACTGCTCAGAACTCCTCACTGAATTTATCCACATTTCACCGCTGTTGTCAATTGTGAACTCATAAGGGGAAAAACTTTGTCTTCTTTATTAGTGCATTTCAAATCCCCAGTCTGCAACCTGATTCAAAGCAAACATTCAGTGAATATCTGCCTACACGAATCGATGACGGGATGAATGAGAGTTCACCTGTGCCAGCGGTGACCCGGCACAGACAGGGCAGACACACTGTGCGCCGGGGCAGCACAGGGAGCCCTGCCTCATCCAGCAGTTAGAAACTCAAACTGCTTAGTAAAATTTTCCATCATATATGATTCTCAGCAGTGGAGACAGTGAGGATTGATCTACGAGATAGGAAAAGATTGCACTGCCGATCCTGTAAACTTGAGCATTTTACTTAACTTTTATAAACTTCAGTCTCAACTTTACAAACCCAGGATGATGACAGCTACATCCCATACTTCCTGGGATCATCACATGGACCAAGGTGTATGAAATACTTTGGATATTTTAAAAATATTCTAAAAATACTGTCTTCTTTAGATACAGTGCAGGGTATATAATATTATTAAATCAGTTGTTTTTAAGGAAAAATTAATACACTGTGAAACTTGTTTTTGATCCTACTCTCGGCATTCAACTTGAGCGAAGGAAGTAGACTAAACATGTAGATAACCCTAACAAGCAACTTATTTGGAAAAAAAGAGATAGATAACTGTACAAAACTAACTCAGAGAAAGGTACAGCCAGGTAGAATAGGGATCAGGAAAGAAAGGCACAGAGTCCCAGGAATGACTGAGGGCCAATGCTCACTCACCTTGAACTCACTGGGCACGAGGAGTTTTGGAGTGTCCACACCTACCAGGGCATCTATCACACAGAAGATGAGGATAGACAAGATAATGGCAAAATCGCTGATCAATTTTCTTGCCTAGAAAAATAAAAAGAAACGAGGGATCATTTAGCACCAGACATGGACATTTCCCTATGTTTAAAATGACTGAAGATTAAGAAATGAGTATAATTGTGATGGGCGTGTTACTTAGTTCAGTGTAAACACTTCACATTGTATATCGAAGCAATACCCCGAACCCCATAAAAGCATCAATGTACAAAGTTACGATTTAATAAAAAATAATTTAAAAAAATAAAATGACTGAAGAAATCGTGACTGTACTGGTACCAAGGACATCACAGTAAACAAAACAGACACGTCTGTCTTCGTGATGCCCATAGCCAAGCTGCAGATGAATGGATAAGGAAGCCTGCTGCTAGATGAAATCAAGTTTGACTCAGAGGTGATCAGGGTACCTCAGCGCGAGCAGCCGTGTCCAGTGAAGGGAGAGAGAGCAGTGGGGTGGAGAGACGCACAGTTCTCAGGACAGAGGGTCTCTTCAGAGAAAGAAGTGGGACCACTGCAGCCACATAGTCAATAAAAGCCCAAGTGAGGACTGGAAGTTCCCTGACACTGTGGGTACGAAAGGTTACAGTGCCCAGTTTATGACCAGCTCCAAAATTAGAAGCCTTGGTGCCATCAGCAGGATCAAAGGTGGGCCTTTTGGCCAGGAGTTCCTTCTCCTCCTGGTGGGCTGATTCTGTCAGACTTAGCTTCTTGGGAAGTACATGCCAGGAACAGAAGCCAGTGCAGGATGTGTAAGGGGTAAGTTCACACCAATTCACACAATATTTTCTTTCTTTTTATGAGATAGTCTCACTATGTCGCCCTTGGTAGAGTGCTGTGGTGTCATAGCTCACAGTAACCTCCAACTCTTGGGCTTAAGTAATTCTCTTGCCTCAGCTTCCCAAGTAGCTGGACACAGGTGCCTGCTAAAATGCCCAGCTATTTTTTTGTTGTAGTTGTCATTGTTGTTTAGCAGGCCCGGGCCGGGCTTGAACCTGCCAGCCTCGGTGTGTGGCTGGCGCCCTACTCACTGAGCTATGGCACGAGCCACACACAATATTTTCAAGTACAAAGAGATAACAGGGTGATCTGAGGAAATTGGCAGCAGTCCGCTCATTGCTGGCTACCTGGGAGACTTACCCATTCTTAGCTTCAATTATTTCATCTGAAAAACAGCCAAAATATCCTACAGCATCATTGGCCTATTATAAGAATTAAATTTAAAGAGCTCTGAAAGGGTTTAACATATTGCCTGGAACATAACGAACTCTCCTGGTATAAGCTAACTCTTGTTACTTGAAGTTCCAGAGGCTCTCTGGCTACAGAGACCACTGGAATAAACAGCCTACTCTCAGGAGGTCTTTGAAAGGAAGACTGAGATATAAGAAACAAAAAACAAAGGCCCAGTAATAACACGGGACTGCCACTCAGAGTATCTAGAAGAGTATCTCAGAGTATCTCAGAAGTATCTAGAATTACTATAGGAAAAGGATGACCCCCAGAGGCTCCATATTGAAGGAAACTCTAATTTCTTAAGTTTGGTGCAGACAAGGCTGACACTGGCTGTTCAGGAGGTGGGGGCAAAGGTGAGTAACAGGAAGCAGTTTCAGAATACACTAGGACGTTAGGACCATCCCTCGGGCCCAATGGCTCATTAACTGCTGGAGGACCAGAGGTCACTGCAAAGGCAAAAAGAAGTCAGATCTCATTTATCAGCCTCCTGATCCTCACCCTGAAAATGTGATTTGTTGACAATACACATCCTATAAATTGTTCAAAAGAAGGGAAATAGTTATTAAAAAGATAGATAGCTTTCCTCCCTGTGTTTTTCGTAATGAACAGGAGAAGGGAAATAAAAGGTAGCAAACAAATCCAATTTACAGTTCCTTGGTGGGAATTCCCGTCAGACTCATTCCTTGGCGCTGCTAGAGGATGGACCTGCTCAACTAAAATCACTACCAGGCACCTGGGATGCTGCTTCTGGGGCTGGGAGAGGGCACATTCTCACACATTCTCAGCCTTCTGTAAACTGGATGCCGTGGACACCCTCCCTGGGGCCACATGCTGTGCTCCTGACTTGGCCCCCTCACTCCACGACCTAGAGAGATCAAGGCAATGATTCCAAGTACTAACAAACAGAAAGTACCCAGGAAGCTCTAAATTGTTTTCAGAAATTATTTAAGGTATGATAATATCTAAAGAAAAAAGCAATAATTTTTTTCAGACCAATACATAAGTTGTATTTTGATTTGGGTACTGGTTACACAAATGTATGACCTAGGAATTTCACTGTATAAAGTAAAACTCAATTTAGAATATACTTTCTCAGAACTTCTGAGTCCAAATCAGTGATGAATTGTCATTCAGATGATTCTCTTTGGGAAATTATGCATTTATTTCAACAGTGTTGCTATTCCAAATAATTTTAAAATTCCTTAAATAATTTTGTTTCTAAACAAAGACTGATTAACCACATTAACCATTAAACACATTTGAAGAATCCATGATTCTATCTTCTTTGAAATGTATTTTTCTTGTTTCAAAATTAACACATATTCATTATAGAATATTTAGGAAAAAGTAGAACAAAAAATGTTTCCCAATTTCTTTACCTAGGAACAAATTTTAACACACCCTTCTTCTGTACGTATGCATGTTCACATACATTTGTGCATACGTGTGTACACACAGGGTTTGCAATACCGTCTGGCATCTTGCTTTGGCATGTTTCTCTGTCTCATTTGGTATTTTCTGTAATTGTGAGCATTGACTCCATGGTATTATGGAACGGTTGTCCCCAAGTCTGTTTTTCTAACACTCTACTGTTTAGATTGCTTCCAGCTTTTGACTAGAATGAAGAATATCCTAAAGAAATCTTTGCACATTATTTGGCTGTTTCCTTAGAATAAATTCCCGTCCACAGAGTTATCATTACCATCAAAGCACATATAGAAATTTAGGGCTTTGGTATTTAACGCCAAATTACGTTCTTGAATGTTACATCATTTCATCAATTTTCACTCTATTCAACAATATACAGATGACTACGGATATTTTTAAAAGTTAAATCCATACTCAAAGTGAAAGCAATTTATCTCTGCTGAAGATACTCGAAAGAACATAAAATTGTCACATCATCACTGCCACAGCTTAAGGAAGTAACTGCATTTGTTGCTGCATTCTAACCTCTCACGTTTAATACAGATTTTATATAGACACACAACCCTCTAAAGATGACTTTAATATATATTCTCAACAGTATCTCATTAAATTTGAAGAGCCAAGTCTTACATGGGTAGAGAGAGTAACACACAGCTACCCATAGACTCTGGCGGTGGGGTGGGGTGCGTAGGGTATGTAGCAGTCCAACCAGCCAGTAGAGTTTTTTCGAAAGCAAGTGGCTGGAATATACCCACTGTCCTGTTCGGACATTCTCACGACATCTGGAAATCAAATCCAGTGACTCAGTTTCTACCCTACTTCCCTGGCTACTCCCCTCTTTGCCGGTTTCCCTCAACTCTTGGGAACCCTGGAGGTGGAGTGCCCCAGAATTCAGACCTTGGTCTCTGTTTTCTTCTGTCTACACTTGTGCCTTAAATGGTCTCATTCAGCTCTGTGCTTTAAAATACCATTTACATGCAGAGGACTAAAAAATTTCTATCTTTAGGTCAGACCACTCCCCCATGTTCCAGAAACACCGTCCACCCACCTGGTCACTGGCAGGGATTTTTTACAGGCATCTCAAACTTACGTCCAAGACTAAGTGCTCAGTCTCCTCCCCACAAGTCTGCTGCCCCAGGCCCCCTACCCCAGCAGTGAGCCCTAAACCTGCTTTCTGCATAGTTTTCTCAGTTGTAGTTAACGGCTGCTTAATTTTCCTCATTGCTCAAGTCAAAAACTTTGGGTCCAATGAACTCTTTCTTTTCACAGTGCACCCCTGAAGGTTCTCATGTCTTAAATCCCCAAACCTGCACACATATAATGTGACACGACACACACGTGTCACGTAACATATGGGAAAATTAAAGTTGCAGATAGAATTGAGGTTGCTAATGGGCTGATTTTGGGATTGGGGGATTGTCTTGAATTGGCCAGGTGGACCCCACAGAATCACAGAGACCAAAGAAGTGCGAGAAAGAGCTGACTGGCCATGGCTGGCTTTAAAGGTAGAATAATAGCGTGGAGCTTTGATGCCTGTAGTCCCAGCTATGCAGGGGCTGACGCCAGAGATCACTGAGCCCAGGAGTCTCAGGCTGCAGTGAACTATGATCTCGCCACTGTGCTCTACCCTGAGTGACAGAGTCAGACCCCGCCTTATAAAATAAAAAAAGTGAAGGAAAAGGCCATGAGCCAAGGCTTGCAGAGAGCTCCCGAAGTGGGAGACAGCAAGGAAACACCTTCTCCCCTGAGCCTCCAGAGAGGACGCAGGCTGCCCCCACTTGATTTTAGACTCTGACCCTCAGGTCCCACGTTTGACTTCCATATCTCACCTTTCAGATCTAAAGTTTTGTTGTTTTAAGCCACCATGTTAGTGGTAATTTGATAAAACAACTATAGAAACTAATACCTAATATAAATAAATAGGTGGGGATATATATATTACATATGAGCAACAAACATCACACGATATGATCATTTGTATCATATACCTGCTGATTTTGAAAGCACCCCAAGTACAGGCAGTCTCGTCAAATGTGGCATTGTTACAGCACAGGTACAGAAGTCGCTAGAAAGACAAATGCTAATAAATATCAGCATTGCAGGCCTTAAAATTTACGAAGGAAAAAAACTATTAATAATGTTGCTTAACCTCATTAGAAATCACAGCAGGGATGATACATTCTGCATAATTCACTCAGTTCTATTTCCCCTTTAATTGTTCAATACAGTTCTGTTACAGCAGAATCAGTTCTGGAGATTGTCTATTATTAAGATATTCATTTCTGAGATACTGGATTCAGTTTAAGCTTCATATTCTAAGAAATTGATAATTTTTTCCCAGGCCACTTTTATATTCAACTGTAAATCCT